CAGCTTTGAACTTGCAATCCTCCTGCCTTATCTTCCCAACTTGATGAGATTACAGGTATGTTCCACTGTGCCCAGTTCTAAATGTGACTTCTTAGTTGCTAGGGAAAATTAAAACACACAGTGTGTACTGTATTGAAAATCCAAAAACTTTTTACTTCAATTAATATTCACCAAGCACCAACTACAGGGCAGGTCCTGTGGATTTCATCTCTCATCTTTATTAATAAAAGATATTGCCTGTATTTTCAACACCTCTTCTAATTAGTAATCAAAACTTACAAAAAAATAGATATAAAGCTTTTTTTCCCCATGAAGAAAGATTCAAAGAAACATTGAAAGTAGTAATAAAACACTTGTAGACATTCACTATTGTAATAGTTTAAATTCAGGGTAAAAATAGAATTGCTTTCAAAAAATTATCTTGGGGCCAAGTACAGTGATTCATTCCTGTAATCCCAGAAACTCAGGAGGCTGAGGTAGAGCTTTCCAAGTTTAAGACCAGCCTTAGCAACTCAGCGAAGGCCTAAGCAAGTCAGTGAGACCCTATCTTAATATAAAAAATAAAAAGGGGTAGGATATAGCTCAGTAATAAAGCAGCCCTTGGATTCAATCCCTAGTATTAAAAAAAAAGTTATCTTGGAGCTGAGGGTGCATGGTCAATGGTTAGAGTACATGTCTAGCATGCATAATGCCCTTATGTTTAATCCCCAGCATGAAAAAGGTCATTTTAGCAATTAGAGTGGTAGAAGTACCTTGGCTTATATTCAGATCCCTCAGACACTGTTGTTAGGGGTTACTGTCAGTTGCATTAACCTGACAGGCCTGAAAGTCCCAAACACTCATCATTCAACAATGATTATCTCCCTAACCTTTCTTCAATGAAAACTAACAGGATTAACATAATTTACCTACTATACATTATGCTTAATTAATTAGTATTAAGATCCATGAGTTTTTCATCCAGGAGATAAATTATATACTTAAAAGAAAGGAAAAAAAAAACCCTCATAATATTGGCCAAATCCCTGTGGAAAATCTCTATTCAAAAATTATACTTGCTTGATTTTCTAATATTTCTATTTAAAAAACAGAGGGCATTAGTACTTTGAACCTGCTTCAAATGAGATCACAGAACTGGGACTGGATGTGTAAATGGCCCCCAATTTTTGGCCATAAGTGAAATAAAAAGGAAGTCAGAATATTCTGTCCATTTGCCTTGTTTTGCTGCCAGAGATTAGCAGTGTGTTGTCTGTACTCTTTAAGAGTACAAAGTCTGAACATCATGGATTTTCAAAACATTGTTAAAAAGTTTGTCTTAGGTAAAGAATAAAGGAGACAATCTCTTATCTGTCAATTGGAGTCCTGATACTCTCTGGCTTATTACAAAGAACTAAAACTAGATCTATGTCACAGAAAGAAGTCATCCCTGGTTTTGAAATATTTTCAAACACACACTCTTGTTTCTTAATAACTACTAGCACTGAATAAAAATCCATTCCTGGAAGGAATGAGTGTAAGTTCTTTAAGTCTGATTCCAAATTCTCAAAGAATTAATATAAGGTCCAAACTTACCTATCAGTAGGTTCCCCTTTGGCTAGCTTTTCAGCACAAGAAATAGCTCCTTTGTGAAGCCAACAATAGGTATCCACAGCCACTACCTGCCCTTTATATTTCCTCACATTGATGGGTTCAGAAGCTTCTTTGATAAATTGTAGCAGTCCTTGTATTCCCATAGTGCCAAATTAACTACATGATATGAAAGGAAAAAGAGCAATATTTAAAGCAAAATGCTTACCAAAAGTCTTCTGAAAAATGAAGAAAAGGAACTTGCAAAACAACACAGAATTTGTTATTATTTAGCTAATAACTGGCCTGTTCCCTGTCAAATTCCATAGGTTAGAATTTACCTTAATCAACAATACTACCTCTAATGCCACTTGATAGTTGCTTAATATTTATTCTTTCCAAAGTGCTTTTATATTAAGAATCATAACTTGTGTTCCAAGATACTAACAGTCCTAAGCACACAGAACGTACTCAAAAATGGATAAACCTCTGCTTTTATCAAAAAAAGGCATTGTTAAAAATCTACAAAATATGTCTGCTGTGGTTTTATATTGCCTCCACAGAAGGCATTAAAAGGCCAACATGCAAAGTCACATAAGAGTAGAAACAGTTTGTAGGAAGGTAGGGATTTAAAAAAATAAAATACATAAATAATCAAACAGAATTACAGAAAGAGATCTGCACTTCTTTAGGATTAAAATTTACTACCACCAAACATTCTGATAATAAGCAGTGGTGATGCCTAGGGATAAGTCATTAGACTATTAAAAAAGTTACTCCCCAAAGAATCTAAAACTAGGCTTGCTGTACAAATATAGCTCTAATGACTAATGATTTAACTTCCCATTCCCTCTCATGAGGTTATAGTTCACTAAGACCTACATGGAAATTCCAGAGCTGCCACCGTCCTTTCCAAAGCAACTACTCCCTCTCATTCCAACTCCACAGGATAAAGACAAGATAGCAATGGGCACCAAGCATTTGCTTGATATTTCTTAAGACAAGTGTCTACTATGAAACATCAAGTTTGGAAGGAAGAAAAGAAAGTACAGGATCAGAAGTCATCCTTACCCTCTTGCCACCCTGTTAGAGCTGATTCTCTAGTCCAGCAGTTTTCAAATTTCAGATGTAGGCAATTTTCAACTCCACTCCAGTGACTGACTCACTACTTTTGGAGTGTGATGGGATAGCCTGAATTTGAACCCAGGTGATCTGGATGCAGGCGGTCAAGTCAGTTTCTGACCATTAGTCTCCCACCTCTCAGAAATGTCTCTAACACGAGTTGTTGCTCATGCTGAGGAAATTGGAGATGACATACATTTCGTGAAACAGGTAAGTTTCTTCTAAGCAAGGTAAATACCCTCCAGTAAACATTTCCTCTTCGACATAGTAAGACTGCGTGCCATATGGCGCGTATCAACTCATAGAGATCACCAGTGGCACAGGAGAAACAGCAGAAACGACTTCACTACTTCATCCTTTTCTCTCCGGGATGTGCAGTCGTGGCCACAAGCCCATTCCAGATACCGCGTTTCCTTTGGCCTGTAATTAAGGGAAAAAATTACTTGTCACAATTAGAAGTGGGAACAGTGCAGGTAAACCTGGACTGCCGGCCCCTGCTGAGGACGTGAGATATGGTACAACCCTGGCGCCTGTTCCCCGGGACCCGCCTGCAGGGAGCGCGGGCTCTCCCTGCATCCACCAAAAGCATCCCTCCCTGGCCTCCCTGGGTCTAAGGGTTTTGCAACACAGGAAGAAAGACCGCTCCAGACGCTTGCCACAACCCACCTCCAGCCCCAAATCTTGAATCCGGAGCAGGGAATCGGCGTGACGTGTAGATCGAGCCCCGCGGGGACCATCAGCCTCCGCACAACCAGCTCCCCTAACTTTCGGAGAAAGGCTCTCCACGCTCGCCTGTGGGCAGTAGAGCCAGATGGCTTCTCCGAAGCCCGCCCGCTATGCCCCTCGCTTACTTGGGCCAGGGACGCAGAAGACCGGCAGCCCGGCTCCGGTCGCACGTTGAGAGCCGGCCTTTTCAATTTGCGCGGGATCGCTGCAGCCCCACCCAGCGGACGTGACCTCAGCGCACATCCTGCGACGTGGCTCCGCCTCCCGCGGCCTCCTGTTTATCCAGGTCCTGAGACGGGAGCTCTGCAGGCCTCTGTGGGGCTGGCAACTCCTGGGCCTGGGCCGCTGCTGCCTTATCTGGCCTTGTTTCCCTTCTTAGCGGCACGAGCTAAGCTAACGCTGCAGGCTGACGGAGAACGGCGCCTTGGAAATTGGAAGTTTCGCCCTCGCTGGGGCTGCTGGGAGTTGTAGTTCTCCCGCCGTCTGCAGAGTCAGTTTCCAGAGGATGAAACCCTGGGAGCCTTGCGTGTTTATCTTGAGGTTCTTAAAACAAGGAAAAAGAACCCAGTTGAAATTAGTCCTTTGGTTTCACACGCTTGCTCACCCCCAGTTCCTTAATTCTTTCTTGAACTTCTGTTCTAATTGAAATTAACTTCAGCTTATGCCCGATTCCGTATTGCAGTAGTATTATTGATTAAAGTTTGTTTTTACCACTTTACCTAGAGTTCAGCTTCAAAGACATAAATTGGGGAGAACTTTACCTTTATAATCAGGCAGTAAAGTGGGCCTTATGGTGTACAGGCTTTTATAAGGGTATTTGAACTTCTGGTGGCCACTTGGGGCTAGATTTCAGTACTCCTAATACCTGAGAACTTATTACTCTTCCCTTTTCTTTGACGTGTGTGTGTGTGTGTGTGTGTGTGTGTGTGTGTGT